ATCAACGAGTAGTTCGATGAGCCCGAAGAGGAGCATCGACGAACTCGTCGAAATTTGCCAGAGAAATAAACTCACTTTACCAAAGTGATACATTCGCGAGGTATTTGCGGCAGATCTTTAAAGCTATAGAGGTTGCCAGCAAACTCGTAGTTGGGATTGAACTCAGTCATCATGGTGTCGGAGACAGCGCGTAAAGATGTCAATTCAGTTCCGTTGCCAAACATTACTTGTCGTCGTTGTAGAAGCGCCTTTCGACTTTGATAACGATTATCTGTCGGCGAGAAAACGGACGGTGTGTGTGTGTGTGTGTGTGTTTATCCGCGTCGAATTGCACGCGTCAGTAGTATAGTATAGGGAAAATGTGTTGCAAAAGTTTTTCTACTACTTACAAAGTAGTAGGCAGACAGCGGTGAAAGCAAAGAGTAGGCCAACGCTTGCAGCTATCAGTAAAATCATGTACGTTTGATGCGTGACCTTTGATTCGTTGGCCACTGCAAATTTCCAATTGCATTTCGTGAAAATAAATTTAGTGAAAATAAAAGTAAGAAGGAAGATGTATAGAGAGAAAGAGAGAGAGAGAGAGAGAGAGAGAGAGAGTTTTGCAATTTTGTTACTCACTAACGCAAGATCTCGAATCGTTGCTCAACAACCAGCCTGGAGGGCAGAGACACTTTGTCTCGCTGAGATGCCGATCGAGAGAGACGCAACGAAAATCGCAATCGCAACCGCTGATAGCTGGAATGATGTAAACTTCGCCAGGTCCGTGATTGATGGCTGGCTGGAATTGAACGTGCGAAAGTCTGTCGCTAGCGTAGGAGTAACCACCTTCGCCGTTACCCAGTTCCTTGTGTCCGGTGTCACCACCTGAATAATAATGTCACGATCATTGTCAACAATAGCTCAACAGCTGATGAAAATAAGTTTAGCAGTAGTTTAGTAATAGTTAAGCTATCCCCACTTATAAGCGTCTCCATTTATATCTAGTAAATCAATTAATTTTTTATTTAATTAATTTCTTTAAATTTGTTCAGATAAATTAAATATTAAATTAAATAAAATTTTACACGTTATATTCGTATTAAAAAGAATTTCTATCTTTACGAATAAATTTACAATTTATTTCTTTTTCAGACATAATATTATAAATTTAAAGTAGTTCAATTACTATTAATGTCCTAAATTAAAAAAAATTATTATAATAAATTTTTATAAATAAATGACTAGCATCTACAAATTATGAAAAAATGTCGGAATTTTAATACATATAATTTTGCTTTATCAGGATCAAGATTACATATAGATATTATATATAGATGCTACTCGAAATGTCACGCAGCCGCGTAAAATGTGACATTGTGGTTATCGTTGCCCGGTTAGAATTAAGTAAGTTACCTATGTAACCACCGCCACCGCCTCCTGTGAGACAGCCACCACCTCCGCCACCGAATCCTCCGTTGCCGTGATTCTGATTTTCAGGACTGCAACCGATCCCCCCTAGACCACCCTTGACGAGAGACGCGCCAACCGAAGAAGACGAAGCTCGAGCCGAAACG